CTCTACTGTTATTATGCACATATGATTATTGTCACATATGTATACTATCAGATATTAATTCAACATACATTCAGGCTGATTCGCGTCGTCTATGTGAGCTGGGGGATGACGGCGAGGGGCCGAGGTCCCTCTCAACGCTGCTTGCAGCTTTAATTATTCTTTCCTTCTTCTGCCGCCTCTTTAAACTGGAATTTGACCCCTTAAACATGCTCCAAAACTCACCAAAATTGGCACGCATGTCAGGACTGGCAAAAACTTTTAGGAAATGACAAAATTAATCTGAAAAGTGCCAAAATGGCCTCTCTAGTGCCACCTAGCAGTCTAAGCACACTAAAATGGCCGCTGCGGCTTGTATGAATGACATAGAAAGATAAAACCAAAACTGGCTTGTTCGTCTCATTGAGACCTACAAATCACGCACTCACACCTCTGACCTCGGAATGGCCTTTCATTCCGATTAAAAGTGGAATTAAACTGTGCATGTAAACGTACTGAGTGACACCAATAACCTAACTCCAACAGGCAATGAGCTAGTGCCTCTGAAGTAACATGAGCAAATGTGTCAGCTGTGAGCTAGACATCATAAACGTGCGTCCAAGATTGCATTTTTTATTTTACAAACATGAAGCCTATATCTGTGTGTTCAGAACGAGTGTATCTCTCTTGTGGTATGTTCAGATTGATGATTGGACCTACGGTTTGGGACTGAGTTGAAAGCCACCTTCATTTGCCTGCTCTTCAACTTGTCTCTCTCTGTCAGTGGTGGACTTAGAATGTTTGTAGGTCAGGAGTGAAAAGGAAAAAAGGGCACCTACTGCACAACAGGAGGGGCCATTGATGTGGAAAAAAATCAGTTTACCCCCTAAACCTGCTCAAAAACTCACCAAAATTGGCACACGTCAGGACTGGTGAAAAATTTTAGAAAATGAAGTAATTAATCCTCAAAGTTCCAAAATGAGCTGTCTAGCGCCACCTAGACACACTAAAATGGCCACTGCGGCTTGTAGGAATGACGTAGAAAGATCAAACTAAAACTGTCTTGTTCGTCTCATCAAGACCTACAAATAACGCACTCGCACCCCTGACTTAAACCCAACAGGAAGTGAGCTATTTGCCCTTTCAAAGTTAGATTTCGCCTCAAAAATGCTCTTTCTTCAAAATCCTTAAAAAACAAATCCTCCTACACCGTTTATCGTATTGGCTTCAAACTCGCAACCCTGACAGATCAACCCCCGGGGAACAAATCATCTGTACAATTTTTTCTTTACTCGAACGGTTTGGATTTTATGGCCTCTCAAAGGTGACACGTTACAAAACGATTTTTGTGCCACCTACACACACTAAAATGCCCGCTGCGACCAGTAGGAATCCCGTAGAAAGAACAAACCAAAACTAGCTTGTTCGTCTCATCAAGACCTACAAATCATGCACTCACACCACTGACCTAAATCCAACAGGAAGTGCGCTATTGCCCTTTCAATGTAAGACAACGTTTTTCACAAATTCTCTCTCTCAAAAAAGATTTGCTCCTACACCGTTTATCATAACTGCTTCAAACTTGCACACATGACAGCTCTACCCCTGGTGAACATTACTTGTGAAGGACTTTGTCATTACTCAAACGGTTTGGATTTTATAATTGTCAAAGGTGCAGTACACAAAGACTCATGACGATCTTCGGAAGAAAACATGAGGGCCAACATATCTAAAACTTGCGACTAAGGTCGCATTTTTGACTCCACACACATAAAAGCTATATATTTCTGCTTTCAGAACAAGTTTATCTCTCTGGTGATATTGACGATCGGACCCAGAGTTTGGAACTGGAAGGACTAGTTCAAGAAATTTTAAACCCAATTTGCTCTCATCCTGTCTCTCTGTCAGCTGTATGCTGTCATTAATTAGCATAACAAAAGCTTCACTCTGACAGACACAAGACTGTGCGTGTGTGTGTGTTTGTGTTTGTCTGTGTGTGTGTGTGTGTGTGTGTGTCTGTGTGTGTCATACTTCTACTGTTATTATACACATATGATTATTGTCACATATGTATACTATCAGATATTAAAATATACTTTCAACATATTGTACCACAATAGCCAGAATTATAATTATAATATTATTACTTTCATTAATGTTGTTGTAAGCTATTAAAATTACCGTCTGTCCTGCATGTCTCTCTGTCTCCCCTTCTGTCTCATTGGGTCCTGAGGACAGAGGGATGTTGGATGCTGTAAAGCCCTGTGAGGCAAATTGTGATTTGTGAGATTGATTGATTTGATTGATTGATTGATTGATTAATTGATTGATTGATGTCCTCATCAGTAGTTTGGTTTTCAGAAGCCATCAAAGTTCTACTCCCAAGTCATGGGTTCATTGCCAAAAATGACCTTGCGTTCTATTGACATTGCTTGTTTTATCGACATTCCGACTCTTATGAATAGGCTAATTCACACGTCTACGTGAGCTGGAAGCCGACAGCGAGGGTCCGAGGTCCCACCCAACGCTGCTCGCAGCTTTAATTGGCTGTAAATTTGCTAGCTAATTTTATCGATCTTTGTCCTTGTCGTTTCTTCCTTCTTTTTTTCTCTCTGTTTGTTTGTTGTGTTTTTTCCTTGTCTCTTTCCCTTTTCTGCTTCTTTTCCTCTCCTGCACAATTATTTGCCCTTGTATTATTAAATATAATCCTTGTTTTTATCATTGTGCATATGAATAAAAATAAAAACTAAATAATTGGTAACAGAGTAGGGTGGGGATGGGAAGGCAATCACATATTCATGTGGTTTGGTATACATATACAATCTTTTTTTAATGCCTCAGTTTCATTTTATTATAGTTTTGTTTTTATTAGTTTGATTTTTTTTTGGCTTTATTGTTGTAAGTGTTTTTTTAAATAAAATTGAAATTGAATTGAAATTGAAAAGGCAAGAAGTGGAGCTGGGACCGTTAAACAGACTCTGTGGTCAGTTTGCTGTTTTCAGACCTGGTGTGCCGAGAAGGAGGTGGCTATTGATTTTAAAATGGTCACCAAGATTGAGCTAAACCAGGTTCTCTGCCAGTTTTATGCCACTGTGAAAAACAGGAAAGGTGAAGCTTACAGTTTCAGCAGTTATGTTGGCCTTCATCCGGGGCTTAACCGTCACATTAATGATCTGCCTATCAGTCGATCCTGGTGTCTGATGAATGATACCGAGTTCACCACCAGCAACAACATTTTCATTGGAGTAGTGAAGAAACTTTGCCAAGAAGGTCCCAACAAAACATCCCACCACCAAGCATTAACAAAGGCCAACTTTCAGAAAATCAAGCTCTCTCGGGCACTGAATCCAAACACACCTGAGGGTCTTGTCAACAAAGTTTGGTTTGATGTGCAGCTGTATATGGGACGCAGAGCTAATGAGGGCAACCGCCAAATGAAGTCTGACTCATTTATCATCCGACAGGACGAAAATGGTCAGAAATATGCAACGCTGTCATTTAATGAATGCACCAAAAACCACCAGGATGCCGGTGAACGAAACAAAGAGAGTCTGCGGGGATTTATGTTCGAGCAGCCAGGGAACCCACTGTGTCCTGTCGCTTCACTGGAGAAATGTCTGTCACTGCTGCCACCCAATCCACTGGCCTTTTATCTCCATCCAAAGCGGAGAAACTACACCGATGATGTATGGTAAGTTAACATGTAATGTCTGTTTGTTTTGTTATTACTTTTGTGTTGTTACTGATTTTTCTCTCTCCTAATGGTTAGGTATACTAGAGAGCCCATGAGCCCAACTTTCTCAGCTCCATGTTGCCACGGATCTGTAAAGCAGCCGGCACCGAGACCATCTACACCAACCACTGCCTGCGAAGCACCACTGTACAAAAACTCTCTAACGCTGGCTTAGAGGCGAGAGAAATCATGTCAGTAACGGGGCATAAATGTGAATCCTCCCTGCAGTCATACTGGCGCCCAAGCTATGATGAGAGAAAATCCTGGCGCAACATCCTTGCTTCTTTTAAAATGCACCTGTCCAGAGTCAGACACCCCCGTACTAGCAAAGAGGAGTGCTAACATAATTGAACACTACTTCAGCAATTGCAAAATTAATGGAGATATCCAGATAAATGTAGCTAAATAGTCAACCCAGATAAATGTTAATAAGCTTTAAGCATGCTTTCCACTGTGTTCCTGTGTGTTTTTGCGTTCGTCTGTTGCTTGTTGAGGAACTATTTCTTTGGTGGAAGAGTGAAAGAATGATTATTTCTCACTAATAAATTATTGCAGCTCTTATTAATGTGTGTTTATTTTATGAAACCCAGCCAGGTATGTGTAATAACTGTTAAATAAAAGCAATTAGCCCCATTCGCGTCGTGCCTAACAACGCCCCTTAGCCGTGGTAAAATCGCCGGCAAACCACGGCCTCTTAGGGCTAATTGCTTAATTTTATCATTTTATGACAGTTGTGAGTGTGTAAAAGCACTAGCAAAACTGTCTTACTGACATACCTATCTTTTAGGTGTCTGTTCTTGTCTATTGAACATTTTTTGATCATAGATGGAGCTCATCCTCACCTTAATCCTGCTACAGACTAGGATTGCCCAGCAGCATAAATTACCATGGTTACTAGTCTGGGATTCAGGTTAATCATCAGAGTTGTGACTCAGGTTGATGGAACGGAAACCAGAATTTAGCTCAATGTATCAGGCTTAGCCAGAACCATGGTTTCCATGGTTACCACTGTGAGGCTAATCTTTGCCACTTTGATGGAACAGAACTCTGGCTCACATTAACCAGACGTGGCCATTTAAGCCTGGATTTGCCTTTAGCCTGCTTGATGGAATACCCCCCGGTGGTAAATCAGTTTCCCCGTGGGGATTAATAAAGCTAATCTAATCTAATAAATTGAAACAGCGGGGTCATTCGAGACATTTTATGAATAGTGTAAGAATCAAAGTAATTGTAACACACTTTATTATTGTTGATACATTTAATTTATACATACATACATTTTTTTGCTTTTTGTTGCTGATGTTAGTATACTGTGGTTCTAGGCCTACTAGGCCAGTGATTCTTGGTAGGGGCGTCAGGAGTCTGGAGGCTTGTAAGAAAAGGTAGAGTTCAATTGCCTCCTTGGAAGAAGTAGGTGGGTGCAGATAGTTTTCTGACATTGCAAGGCAACAAATGTCAAGAACAGTCTCATCACATGGATGTGGACCTCTTGGCAGGTCCAAACCGCCAAACAGGTGGGGAAGGCGGTACATCAGTAGTGATCATCCACTTGGAGAAACTGCATTCCTACTGGGGCGAATTCTGTGGCAATTCCACAGGTGAGCAACGTCCTGCAGCTCTCTCTAAAAGAAGAAAAGCAAACAAGGCAAAAAAAACCCCACTTAAACTTGCACATCTTTTCAGTTATCCCATACTTAAGTGATACTGCAGTCATTCTTCTCCCCAAAGAGGCCGTGAAGGGATTCTAATAAATGTGATGAGGAACAATACAGTCTTTCTGTGTAAAATTCATTCTAAATCTCAGCTCAAGCTCATATGAGGTTTGAACAGAGAAATAATTAAGCTGTTGTGAATGTGAGTCTTTTTGCAACAAAATTTCTTCAGCAGCTCAGGAAGAAAATACTTTGGGATTAATATTCACATTGGAATTGTGTATATGAACAGCATGGAGAGGTGAAATGTTCACAGCATCCAATACTGCAGTAAACGACTGCTGCAACTGGGCATATGAACAGTATTGTTATCATTATTTATTGACAGAAAAACAGTCAAGCCCAGTGAAGTTAACAATTAGACCTAATTCCTTACTTAACTCATTCAAAGTGTTATCTTAATTCAACCAAAAGGGGAGAAAGACTTACCTCAGTTATTTCCAAGCATGTGAACTGTATGAGATTTTTGCCAATGAAGTCCCCTGAGAAATGGTCATCAGTATTTCCCAGTGTCTCAAACTGTGAAGGTAGTAAGGTAACGCTTTAGATTACAGCCCGCAATTTACATCGTAACTATCGGGTAGTTACGGAGTAATCTGTTGTACTAACGGTGTACCAGTGTAGTATGTACCAATACATATATGTAGGTACAGGGGAACAAGATATTAAGTTATGGAATAAGGGGCTAACAATTCGTGAATTTACAGAGAATTTATATTATAGGGTTTTTTTTAACTACTGGGTACCTACTCTATTATAACAGGGTATGTGCAACCTGCTGATCAATAATATGGACGTTTGGGGGGAATTTACAGAGAACTTATACAGTAGGTATTTTTAACTACTGGGTACCTATTCTATTATAACAGGGTATGTGCGACCTATATTGATCAATAATATGGACGTTTGGGGGGAATTTACAGAGAACTTATACAGTAGGTATTTTTAACTACTGGGTACCTATTCTATTATAACAGGGTATGTGCGACCTATATTGATCAATAATATGGACGTTTGGGGTGAATTTACAGAGAACTTATACAGTAGGTATTTTTAACTGCTGGGTACCTATTCTATTATAACAGGGTATGTGCAACCTGCTGATCAATAATATGGACGTTTGGGGGGAATTTACAGAGAACTTATACAACAGGTATTTTTAATTACAGGGTAGCCTACTTACTCTATTATTACAGGGTACAGTATGACAATAAAACTGAAAATTTGGAGGGAAGATGGAGGGAAGACTTCTGCAGCAAGTAATAAATCAGATGTGATTTTATTTCAAAATGACCTAATTACAAACAGTCAATCTACATTGTTCCTTTATATTTTCAGCGGGTAGCCTATACAACTACATGACTCTGCTTGCCATCGGCAGACAGAATTCACCCACCCTAGATGTGACTCACTTGTGTTTTGGTGTAAACACGCTGACAATTTTGAAGTCATTAAAATGTTGAAGGTCTTCTCCCTGGCAATTGTGTTTGTCCGGCATTACGGCTCCTCAACATGCAAGCTCACTTTTTTCCAGCTCTGTGCTCGCTCTCCTTTCATCCCAGGAAATAAATACAAATATAGCAAGATAAAACACAACACATATGCTTGATATGCTTTACTGACAGCTTACTGTGCAGTTAATTTACAGTTTGTTCTTCCATGTTTTGAGGCAAGTAAAATCAAAACAAACATCTCACATTGTTGTCTGTATTTACAGAACAAGTGATATAGGCTATGCAGTGGTAGTTTTCCTCTTGTTACATTTAGTTACAGGGTAAATACAGCTATAAAAGCGCTAGTTACAGGGTAAGTACAGGATATGCGGGCTGTATTCTAAAGCGCTAATAGTTCCCCCGTAGTAACATTTAGTTACAGGGTAAGTACAGGATATGCGGGCTGTATTCTAAAGCGCTAACAGTTCCCCCGTAGTAACATTTAGTTACAGGGTAAGTACAGGATATGCGGGCTGTATTCTAAAGCGCTAA